GAGGAGAGGGAGGAGGGGGGAAAAGGGAGACAGGGAGGGAAATGGGAGGCGGGGAGGAGGCGGAAATCTTTTTTTTTTCAATAAAAAATTATATTAAAAAAATAAATAAAATGTTAATGTAGAATAATATAATGCATGTACAATTGTATGCTTATGGTGTTATTTAAATATATGTATACACAATCTTAAAAAACAAACAAACAAACAAAAAAAAACAAAAACAAACAAACAAACAAAAAAAAACCAAAGAAGCAAATCTGTTTTTACCTCAAGCAAAAGTCTAAGGCTCCAAATAGGTTCCTAGTCCCTTAGGGAGATAAAGATGGATTCCACCCAGGGAGTGGTTTGCCTACAGAATGTTTTTGTCTAAGGTGTGAATGTTGCTTGTCTTGTTCTGGCAGCAGAATGTTTAGCTAAGAATGTAGCCCATGATCCTTCAACTGACCTGTTCATTCCTTGTATCATTCTAATGAAGCTTTTTAACAAATCTTACTCCTATCTTTTGGGGTCAGGATATTAAGCAAATGGAAATTAAATGTGGGTGAATTTTCAGTATTCACTGGAACTCCCTCCCTATCCTATGTTTCTGTTTTATTGTTTCCACTGGTGTCTTCATTCTCTTATTTTTCTAATCCCTATGCCCCTACCCTGGTAATTGGTATCCTTGTCGAAATGGTTTTTAACACCTCTGGCCTATTTTTCTTTGATTGTTGTTATTGTTATATTTATACATATAATCCTAAGTACATAAATTTAGTAATTCAGTTCATAGCTGTTACTCATATGTATAACATGCAAAACTCTTACTAACATTATCTTATCTTCTAAATATTGCTAAATATTTGTATTCCAGAAATGTCTTGACAATGTTATGAGGACTGATTGCTATAATTTATAAATGATTGGCCGGTTGTCAGAAAGTGAAATATAAAGGTTATATTGTAATAATGATGCTACACTATCAGATACACATAAATATATCATAACAATTCATTTCTGAGTGCTTCTGAAAGCATCCTTTATCTTTAAGTGGTGAGACTGAATATAGGAAATCTTGATTTAAAAATTTGTACTCACATAAGACATAGGAATTTTTATTTTGTTTTATATATTCTGATAATTATTTTGAGACATGTATGACATAGAGTTAAATAATGATATCAAGCCAAAACAAAATCATAGTGTTACAGTACTGATTTTGCTTATGAATATATTTTATGTGAGAAAAAATAATAAATAGGATTTTTTAACCTAAATGACACAATTACATTTTTCTGAAAAATAGATTTATGTCTTGACAGTTTTTAATCCTTAGACATTTCCCTTTTCTATAATTGAATAATGTACTTCTCACATTTAAGCACAAAAATGCCCATTTTAATGGGAGAATCAAGTTAAATTAATAATAACAAACACATACTCAGAGATATGCTTGCTTAATAATAGCTGGGCAGAAAACAAAGGATGTTATGCATAGTAAGGGGGCTTTGATGTAAATTCAGGAGAGTGGAGGTTTCCTTGAGGAGAAACTCCTCACCTGTGGACTATACGGATGATGAGCTCTCTCACATTAATATTTCCTCAAAGTATGATAGAGATGGAGAATAGCTACCGGCCTGTAACTCTCGTAAGAACTGGCATTGTTCTGTTGAAGAAACAATGTCAGTTCATCTTTAAAAGTTCAGATATGAAAATCCCTAGTTTCCACTGGGGAATGAATCATTTTACACCCTAGCCAGAAGCTAGAACTCCAGAGCAACACCTATTAATTAAGTCCCTGAGCCAGCTGTGCCCATGGCCCAACACCACTGGCAACCAATATGGCCCCTACTGAGATGCTAAACTGTCCTCTCTGTTAGTGCAAAGTTCCAAGGGAAAAGAAAAGACGCCACCAGAGGTCAATTGCTAACCTTCCTGTTTGTTTTTGTTTAAAGTTTCGATTTGACCACTAACTTAGTTTTCTTATTTACTCGTTCATTCATCATTTTAAATTTATTATGCTCTTCTTTGGAATAATTAGATTTATTGAACAATTGGAAAAATAGTACAGACAGTGGCTTCATTTACCCACCCACGTTTGCTAATCTGACATATGAGGCAGCTGTGCTCTTTGATATTAGGTCTGGCATTCTTGCAGGGCCTCTGAGCTCACTGGGAAAACATATGTACATTCTAAACTTTGTATCCATATCTATAATTGTATTTTCTGCACCAATCTTGAAGCAATTTATCTGAGGGTGAATAGCATGAACTTTGATTTGAAATAGGTAGAATCAGGAACCACACACAAAGCCTTTCCTGCTGCCCTTTTGTAATTTTCAATCGTTATGATATTACTCCGTCCTTCATTATGTGTCAATGATCAGATTGTTTTTTCTTTCCATAGCTTTGCATTCAAATAACACAATATGAAATGAAACTGTACAGTAGCAGATATAATATAATTTATTAAAGTTTTTATCCTGAGCAAATTTCTCTGGAGGCCTCTAAGGTTGCTGCTCCTTCTCTATTTCTATTTTTAATGCATCATACTTTTCTCTGAGTAATATTCCATTGGAATCATCTAAGAGACACACCTTGGATATCATGTCTAAAAGTTTTTCTAAGGAAATTTGATTGAGAAGGGAAAGCCCATCACAGATGTATTTTATAGCCTAACCATTTGTTCTCTGGAGGTATGTATATTTTGTCCAAATTTTGGATGCTAATACTAAAATTGCTGAAATAGTCATGCCAAGATATTCATGAGAATTTACATTTTGGGGGGGATAAACATTTAAGAGCTTAACTTCTGGGCAGTATTGGGGCAGTATTGTAGGTACAATATAGTTAGTAAGGAAACTGTCCAAGTATTTTATGCAGGACATGTTCCATTGCTAAAGCATGAGTGACCCAGCTTCTC